AGCCGCGTTCGACCGGTCTGCTTCCGGTCCCTCAATTCCTTAGTGCTCCAACACCAGTGTCCGCGTTAATTCCTTCAAGTATATCACTTGTTACCATTTCAATTCCGCCTTTATCCACCCAGCTTACATATCGCCAAATATCACACATTATTGTATTACCGTTGCGTTAATCATACAGTTGTACTGTTATGCCAATCTCTTCACTCATAAGCAGCCCGAACATCAGTGACCAGGCTTCATCTATTCATTACCTATATCATCGTTGCATTAATTACACAGTTGTACCGTTATCCCAATCTCTTCAGTCACAAGCAACCTGAACACCAGTGATCAGGTTACGCCTACTCACAGCCCGTATCATTGTTGCATTATTTGTAAAGTTGTATTGCTGTGTTTGTTGTATAATTATGATAAACGGTTTAATTACCTAAGTTTAAGGTTTCCGGTATTGTGACTGCTACCTACAAGAAGTTCCGCGTGGCGTACACAAAGGCGAGCAACAAATTCCGAGCGAATCGTCTTAACTACTTGGTATTCCTATATAATCGAGCCGTCCCACCACAGATCTTGAGGATGAACCCTGTTCATCATCCTATCAACCAGTTCATATTTCTTTAGCAGACAATCTCACTATTTCATGCGATGACGTCGTCGACAACGACGAATTGCTATTGTCGGACAGGTGTAAGCTCTTATTTGAATATTACTTTGTTTTCTTCGTCGGTTTATGAGGCGTGTGTGGCGCAGTGGTCAGAGGAGACCTGCAATGCACATGGTATCGTTCCCGCGCCGCAGATTCACCAAGCCTTCTATCCCTCCAGGGTCGACAGATAGTATTCAAGTATTAAAATAGGGTAACTGATAACATGCTGATGAGCAGACTTATCGTTATCTACAGAACTATTCGGATCCTACATATATTTACCATCTTGGACGATGACACGATTTCTTTCCTAGCTTATGGCTGAATTGAACCATTGCGCAGGAGTGGCGACGATTAGGTCCTATACAGAATCGAGGTACCATTGAGGTATAACAGCGATACCATTTTGTGTTCGTCAAAAAATGTCGGGCCGTTAGAAGATTCCCTTGTTGGTCGGCGATTTTCTGATCTCTAAAAATTCCCATGGAACACATGTGCTAAGGACAAGAGTCCTACACGACAGTTTCCACTCTGACTTCGTTTTCATATTCCTAAAGAAAGAAAGAAAGAAGGAAAGAAAGGAGGAGAAATCTTTGTTCGTCTAAGTGTCACCTGCATAATTCTTCTGATCTCTTCATCACGGCCAATCATAGAATGCAGCTTAGCTTTTGTAGCAAGCTCTGTAATATTTTTTGTGTATTTCTTTACCACATTCAATTTCTCCCAGTTGTTCAAACAAACTGTGCCGTTACTTTCCCTTATTTCTTTAATAACTCAGTTCCATTTCTGAAATGTGACACTGTTTTCTATCAGAATTTTCCCCACAGCATTATTCCTTTGTGCAGCCATGCCTTGTAGTAAACGCCCAACCGCAACAGATTCATCTTTATTTCTCTTGGCAATATCAGTGGAATCTTCGGAAATCCTTGCTGCTTCTCTTGAAAGTCGAGAGCCGTCACTTCCTGCACCCTCAACTACTGGCAACTTTTTTATTGCCCCATCCACCGCATTGGAAATGCTTTGTATGTTTCAGTCACAAGCATTTATCAAATCCTGAACTGCACCTGATTCATCTTCAGGTTTTGCTTTTAGTAGGTGCTCAGGCATAAGTCTGTTGCGCAGCCGCCAATGCTTGTATTTGAGCACTCTGGATCAGGTTTTTCGTTTTATCGGCGAATTTACTTAGATCCATAATACAAACTTAACTCATACCTGCTATGTAGCAACTACTTTCTCGATTTCAAACTCGAAATTATTCATAGATGACAATTTATGATTGTTTCTAGTGCGAGGACTGAAATTTTATACCCACAAGGGTAATAATACCACTACCAGGTTCTGAAAGTTACGCGAACTTAAGGTCACTTTCATATGATGTCATTAAAGCTTGTCAAGCGCTTTCTACGCTGAAAAACGACAAGCCTTTGGCCTGTTAAGATCCTCTTCAGCGTGATATGATGACGTAATTAATGGGCTTGATGCTACCACTATTTAGCCTTATAGCCATACCCTTTTTCATACCTTGAGGATTGGTTAGGTTTCCTCTGTCAATACATTGTTTTTGTTCTAGCTTTAAACACTTAACTAATTGTTACTGAACTAAATCGCTGAATGAATTGTTGGTACAAGGCCAGAGTGATACAAAACTGAACTTAACCTAGATTCCAAGATAGCAGTAAAGTCATCAGCTGTGTATCATTTTCTATTATAGGCGTCCAAAAACGTAGGCCTAAGCTGCTAACTTGAAATTTCATAATAAAGCTTGAACTTCTTATGTGCAGCAAACTGCTCACCAAAATCCGACGATCTTTTGAACCCAAGAATCCTATGTTGACCCGAAGGATATTTCTTCCTATTTACTGGATCATTTGCCCTGCTCCATAAATTTATACCAAGCCTACAGTTGATTCTATACTTTCTACTCAACAGTTTGCCATTGCCTGATTACTTTCCTAGCAGTGTCTTCCTACGCAATGCTAGCAGTAGTTTGTGCGCTCCAACTCCAAACTACAGCATTAATTGAACAGGAAGGACGCCGCTACCCGACAACACAAGTTTGTTTTACGTCCAATTTATCGTTGGTTTTAAGTTGTTGTGTTTTTAAAGTGCCTTTCCGATGACCTCGGTTCCATATTTTCGTACGGATGTTTTAAGTGACTTAATGTGCCTCGCTTGAAGCATGGATGCTACTAGGGTTAATTTAAGTCGTCGTTCTACTGCTTAGAAATTGTCACTGACCTTACGTAAGTTTTGCAAGTGATGTTTAATATTTTAAGGCTTGGGGAAATGTCTTCTGCACCGAAGAAGTCCGATGAAACGGTTGACGAGGATGCCACTGAAATGCGATTTCCTAAAGGTAATCGTGCCTTTGATAGTATTTCCTCTTCGTTTATAAAATTAGACGGTTCTATTCTACTGAAATCAGTGTTATTAATGTTGCAGGAGAACGAAGCTTTTTAATGAAGTTCTTGTTTGGTCTTAGATATTTTGCTTTGTAGGATCAGAATACGCCAGTAATGGTGCTGAACTTAGTAGCATAACGGATCGATCCTTGAGAACCTTCCTTATCGCCAATTGGTTTACTGAGAGCTGTCTTCAATAACCTGATAAAGCAGAAGCCCCAGGTCGTCAGCACGACATGCTGTTGCGGCCCTTGTGGATCAGAGGGAGATTTACCACCATGCGGCTTTGATAGCAGGACGGTGGTGGATCCTGGTATTGGTTTACTCTTAGCAAGGCTTTCTGATGGAAACGCCAAACTCCTTCTCATCTTGGGAGATCCTTCCAGGGGATGAATCTCCCGCTGTACATCACAGTCCGTCACCCATGAACACCTCCCAGCCACAATGAGGCGGCAAACCGTTGGGAGGTACTTGTGTCTGGTCAAAATAAACCGTATTCGACTGCTAGTGCGCTGACAACTGCTGCAGAGTTTTTGTATTATCTGTAACTAGAGGTGTAATAATAGAGAAGAATTCAGGAGTGGAGGGATCAGAAAATGGCACATTTTGTCAGTGGTTGTAGTAAGAACAGTTTATTCGCAGTGATGACTAAGATGTCGCTGTTCTTCAGAATTCGAATCACGAAATTGCGACGCGCTACTAACGTCGGAAGTTTTCTTATTGTTGGAGCACCGACGACAGCAGAATGAAGCAAAAGACGAAATTGACACTACGAGTGAAGTTGGTGACTACGTTCCTACTAGAACATTTGGTTCTACATATTCGTGACTGAATAATGCCAAAACGCACATGACTACTGATTTTACGAACCAGAGTACTGATTAGGTAACCACTTTTTAGGTCTTCGTCAAGACTCTCAACTACGCCCGTCGTTTATCTCGGTTCAAAAACCGCGAAACAATTAAAGCTGTACGCGCTATATTCTCCCAGAAACCTCTGCACAAGTTTGAGGTGGCTCAAATCATCAATCTATGTCCCGAAACAGCTGAGGAGGCCAAGGTTCTCTATCAGTTTCTCCCTCTTATTTTCACAAGATAGCTTTCTCTTCTTATGTGATGGTTGCTTTATAGGCACTCATTCCTTCACTGGAGAATAAACTTGAAGACGACGATCTTGACGAAATCCTAAGGGATTTGCACACCAAGAAGACTTTTCAGTAGACATTTTCCTTCGAACTGTATATTGTCTCATTGTTAACGTATTCTTCTTGGTCTCTGTTACGTATTGTGCAGTCACTTTATTGGTATCAACAAAGTGTTGTACAGAACGATCAAGTTTTGCGAAATCTCTACCAGTTTTTCCTGATGTCTTCGGTGTATTTAATGAGCTGCCATTTCCGTTATCCCTGACAGGTATTCATTCATATGGACGTCTAATTCGTTGGCGGAAGTTTGTTACTTCAGTTAATGAGACTGTATTGACCAACATGGGACCAGTTGGAAGAATATACATCTGTACACTTTTCAATTCCAAATCTGGAAAAGTGTTTTTTTTACATTTTTATTGAAAGGTGAGGAATTGACCATTCTATTGGCCACGTCGAAGGAGGAGACTAGACCAGAGACGCGGTTGAACAAATAGCAGTAGAATAAGTAATTAATAGTATATTTATTTGTGCGATCTTATAAACTGATCTTTTTGGGCCGATGCGAGGTTAGTATAGGTCTTCGTTGTCGTTGTTGTTGTTGTTGTTGTTGTTGTTGGTCGATGGCTGACGTTTGGGCGATTTCGCCTTCCTGATAGTTGTGCTGTTACGAGTAGCAATCAACAGCAACGGCAATAACAGCAACAACGACAACGAAGAGCTGTAGCAACCTTGCATCGGCTCAAAGAGATCAGTTTATAAGGTCCTGTAAATAAATATATCAACTGTTTATGCCTAGGTTTGTAGAAGGCCGGTTTTTTGAGTTAATTTGTAGGAGACCAGTAGTAGAAAATAAAGAAAGTAGACCAGAAGCAATTTTGTATGTTCTGTGGTCATCGATGCGTGCAGGAAATTCTGTTGGGGTTGTGGTCACGCGTCGCGTACGCCAAAATTTTCATCCATCTAAAAGTTTCAGCAACAAAAAGCCAAAGCCAGAAGCAAATTAAGTTGTAGAGCTTTAGCCTCTTCGCGCACTGAGACTACCACTTTCACAGAATCTTGCATATTGTACCAGCAAGAACTTAAAAAACCAGATCACTATTTAATTTGCACTCACTCAATTCGTATTTGAGCTAAAGCTGTATCGACTTCACGCAACAGTTTGGCAATTGGCCCTTTCCATTTCACCAGTAAGAATTCTATCAAAACATTAAACATACTTAAATTTCCTTGCTGGATTAAAGCGTCCGCAAATGAAAGGAACAAATGCTAGGTGTTCGTATTCCTCAGGTAGGGCCGTACAGTATGATCACGACCACCTTTATATATCAAGGCACATCTGGTTTGAAGGGAGATTTTCTCGGTGTATTTTCTCAAACAAAGTAGTGGAACACTACATACCGTTAACTAGTTCCGTCTCCGAAGAAATGATGCATTATTTGGTTGATAAACGTAATGGCTTCTTTTCCAAGTCGATGAACAGGCTGTACGCTTGGTCAACCCATTGAATGTTCCCCTTAGAGCAGCTTAGAATTACATTTTTACCACACACGCTTTGAGAATAGTTCACAAAAACTAGGCAATCATCCATATTACTCTGCCGTCTAGAAAACAGAAACCGTATAAAGTAAATAATGACACAGAAAAAATGAACAATAACTTTTCCCAATATGCTATGTCCGACATAAAACAAACCAGTTACGGAGTTAATTTTATCTTCACAGCACTACAATCGGAACATTATTGAGATTCCTTGTGTGTGATGTCCTCGAAGAAGGTAGCTGATTAGTTGTTGAATTTTTAGGTCGACCTGAACACAATGCTTGCCTTAAAATGACACTGAAATCGAAGCCGTGGCTTAGAAATTTTCCCACCATATTTGCCTAGAAGTTCTTTGGAAACTTACAACTACTTCTAGGTCAAAGTAAGAAAGAGGAGGACAAGTCGTTTCACAATCCTTGAATATTTTCGTCTCTTCTACAGTTTCCAGCAGAGAAATCCCTTTTGCAATCAAGCTATCTATATTCTAGATTTGACAACTACAATGCCTAAAACCAAGTGTTATTAGTATATGGCGAATTCAGTGCATGACTTGCTGGAAGAAATCTGAAGTTGAGAAGCTTTAAATAAGAGAAGTAACAACGATATGGTAACAATGAAGGAAAACTATAGCCAGTCGCTTTCCCACAAGGAATTGAGATCGCCTAGTGAAGAAGCGCTAATAAAAAGGATTAAGGTCTCGGCATTCATCAATCTGTGAGGAATGCGCCATGTATTCGACTTCATTTAAGCATCGTAGGAGATGACTGATTGTATATCTGACCTGCACAGTGACTGGAGCTGGGCTACCGATATATCGAGCCAGTGCTGCTATCCTCTCAGACAAGTCTGGTACCAACCCCGGAAGAGAGGAAGGCTTGGTGGGCCATGAGCGCGGATAGATCCTATGTGTTATCGCAGAGCGCCTCCAACCACTACGCCACATGGGAAGAACCGATTGTAATGATTAAAACAAAGTGTCATGTGAGCAGAACACGCTTCTGTGACCCACTTTATTTTACCACATAAATTGTATGTGACTTTTGGGATGATATTCCCGTTGTAAAAAGCACTGGGTACCGTCCGTCTTAGCCATAAAACTTACTGACCAATCACGAAATATAGAATTGAATAAACCTGTGTTAAATGCGAAAATATAAGAAACAAGAGACACAAATGTTCACAGAAGTAAGATGGATAAATGAGATGGAACACTCACCCGTTGTTCTGTCTGCATCACAACTCAAGCATATGCAATTGTTGAAAATGGAGGAAAAGATGGACGCTGGCAAGGTGAGCTGCGATTGAATCATTCGAGTGGCCTACTATTCAAAACGTAAAGAAAAAAGTGGCTATGAAACCAACTTCTTAGGAACCTCAGCTGTCCTTTCTATGTGACTGCGAAAGGCTACCATCTTTTGAGAAGGAAAATCCATTTTCTCGGCCACTTTTCTCCCTATCATAGCGGTTATGTTTCCCATTTCCGTAAAAACCGAGTAGACAGCTGCTCTGTTACTAGTTTCTGCCTGCACCACGTAGAAAAACTGCAACGAAGATACCTTTTGGAATGTTTAAACAACACGTTTAAAATACTTATGGCATCGAAAATTCGTGAACACCGTCAATTTCTGTGTTTGAAAGAAAGGGAAGAAAGCAGCCAAAACACGAGAAAAGGGTAACGATTCGTAACAACGCAGGTGTTCAGTGAAAAGAGGATTAGTGGAGAACATACTTGGATTGGTCCATTACATGGCTGATTCGTATCGCAATGCACGTCCACACCTGCATAGAACTTGAATGGCAAAACAACACCATTTCTGATTTGGTGTTTATGGATTTCCTGGCAGCTATTCGATCACATATTACGAACGTTCGAACATGCAGATAACTGAGCACATGTGCACTTTCTTTTTTCGTCGTTCGGCGTTTACAACGAAGAAATGATATCGCACTGTAATTGCTACCCATCATGACCACTGGAACTGAAGAAGAGGACTGCTGGTCAAACATTGAGGTCTGCATGCCCTATAATAGATGCAGCAGCTAGGTGAACAGAAGTACTGGTCAATTCAATGGTGGATTTATTGGTGCATAGAATGAACGACAAGGTGGAGCACTGCAGCGACTGGTTCGCCTGTCGGTAGTTGCCGCGTGCCCGCCGTGCCATAAGTATAGTTTGATGCCAGGATGGTGGTGGATCCTGGTATTGATTTACTCTTAGCTGGGCTTCCTGATGGAAACCTCGAACCACTTCGCAGTTTAGGAGACCAAATCGCGGGATGGATCCCACGTTGTACATCGCAGACCAACACGAAGGAATACATCCCAGCCACGTTGAGGCGGTAAGCCGCTGGGATGAACTCACACTACACATCAAATTATTAAGTTTTCTGTCACTCATCCACTCGCATCCTGTAGGAACAAGGATCACTAGAATACATCTTCTGCATAACACGACCAATCATATCCATTCGACCTCGCGTTTCCCCCTAGAGCAGCGCATAACCAAATGTAAGGACCGGTCGGAATACTTTCTCGATCCTTATTAAGAACTTTTCGTGCATTTTCATAAGTCTCCATAGGTGCCAAGGCTAACCAAAGCTCGATGCTCAAACCAAATGTTTCTTTACTTTATGAACAATATATAGAGAACATTCTTCACGAATATTGGAATGTTCTCTATGTAAATCAATTATAACCTTTCCAAACATTTCAAATGCCTCTCCCATGACCTTTTCTCCATGACGATCTGATAGCCGTATGTCTAACATTTCGCTGGCGCCTATCTCGTAAAATATCTGCACTTACGGTCCTAGGCTTTGAATATCGCCCTATCAGATCGCAAGGCTTGAGAAATGTTTCCAGCACTCGTCTTTCTGACTACTGTAGCCCGACTCCGCCTACTGTAATCTGACGCCGCCCAGCGCAAAAGTATATAAACGGCTCCACGGTTAGCTAGCTCATGTCACAGCAGTGCTGCCCAAGTCACCGCATTCGTCCCTCACCTCCATCTCATGTAGTAAAAGTCATATGCCAATCTCTTCACTCATAAGCAGCCTGAACACCAGTGATCAGGCTGCGTCTATTCATTGCCCGTATCATCGTTGCATTAATTATACAGTTGTACTGTTATGCCAATCTCTTCACTCATAAGCAACCTGAACACCAGTGATCAGGCTGCGCCTACTCATAACCCGTATCATTGTTGCATTAACTATAGAGTTGTGTTGTTATGATTGTTGTATAATTATGATAAACGGTTTAATTACCCAAGTTTGAGGTGTCCGGCATTGTGACTGCTAATCACAAGAAGTCCCGCTTGGCGTACACAAAGGCGAGCAGCTAATTCCGACCGAATTGTCCTAACTACTTGGTATTCCTGTATCAACGAGCCGTCCCAACACAATATCACTACTGTTTTACCATACAACAGTAGCTCAACAACCAATGCCAATTCCAAGTTCTGAAAAACAAAATCAAAAAGTCAAAAAGTATGAATCCAACAGTAATATATCCGCTGACCGATATATAGATACGAACTCGCCTACAACATTCTACTCTACGAGTGAGCAATACGCGTCCTTCATCTGATTCTTCCAACTCCATGATAACTTTCCAAACACGGACAGAAGTAGGAAATTGCTCAAGTGCCCTACGGAACACCTATAAACCATATAGTATTGGCAATAAGTGCCAAACCAGTGACACCATTGAATCGTACCTTCTTCTTTGCCTTCACAACTTCAATTTCCGCCGTTTTCATCCAAGTATGAACGCTTCGCGTCATTTCAAGAACGGCATTAGCCACGACTATCCTACCCGTTTCCAGTGGATGTAATCTGAAATGAAATGTGTATTATTCAGGAATAAACTCGATATACCTGCTATATGGAGACTTATGAAAATGCACGAGAAGTTCTTAATAAGGGTCGAGAACGTATTCCGACCGGTAGTGAAATTTAGTTATGCGCAGCTCCTCTAGAGGAAACGCGAGGTCGAATGGATATGATTGGTCGTATTATGCAGATGATGTATTCTGGTTATCCTTGTTCCTATAGGATGCGAATGGATGAGTGACAGAAAATTCAATAAATTGCACTCCGACGCCGAGACAGGAGTTACCGCTTCGTTTTCTTGTTCAGCAATGGCGATGTTGTTGTACGGCATACATTTACTTCCATAGAAAGACATACATTACAATACAACGATAGCTGACGTTTCTGTAGTATCGCCTTCTTCAGAGACGTTTTTTTTACGTGACTTCCAATGAGGAAGATTGGAACACCTGTTGTGCGGACGACAGTACCCATTGAAGTATTGCGAGAGCTCAAGAGACCGCTCTGTTTCACTTTCGTCGATTTATGGAAGACTTTTGAGTCAACATGTTTTTAAATTGCTGAGCTGTTGAGGTTGATTATAATGTTTATCTCGGCTAACGCTTTGACGGCTTCGTCTTCATCCGAGCCGATGGTCCACAGTTGTTGTTCTTCTCGATGTGGCGTTTTCATAGTCGTTCCGAGACGAATTTTCTCGTCGTTAGAACACCGCACGAGTGAGGCATGCTCAGCCGGCGATGCCCTTTTGTACAGGGCAGTTGTTGTTGATATGATTATCCGTTGATAATAATTTGTTTCTCAGCGGAACCTCTACTCGACTAAACCCTCCTTTTATCTCTGTGACCCGTCAGACTTGCTCAATCACCCCAGCCTCGTGTTTCGGTAAAAGGACTTATTTCTACTGCGCTTTACGAGAAGATTGTTAGGGTTAGTTAGGGTGTTAGGGTGGGTTAGGGTTACGATACGATAGATTATTGTTAGGGTTACGAGAAGATTGTTAGTAAAATTGTTAGGTCTTCTAGATGTGAAATACCACTTAGGTGAGATTGTAATGATAAGGCGGATTTGAACGCTTTGATTAAAAAATTCTTTCACACTGTTCCTTCATTATAGACTGATTATCACTCCAGCGATTCAGTATGTGGATAATTTTCGATTTCATTGCGCTAGTGGTCAAAATGAATCCCTGGAAACTAAGAATAATCCCTTTTCCAGCTGATACTATTGGAATTCGCGATTTGTGTCGCATGATGGTTAAATCGAACTCGCTAATATCGTTTCCTTGGAACTTGTTGAGAAGATGCCGTTGTCGATTAGATCGACGAAGAATACGATCGGCTCATTCAACATCTTCACGTTAGCGCTATGAAAGCTGGAAGTTTGAAAGTCACCGAGAGAGACGTCCATCTCCAGAAACACTCGAGCTGGTACGCCAACGTGGAATTGCACGAGCTGCAGGCAACCGCGAACTAACGTCCGCACTTGCGAAACAATGCAGACAGACGATAAAAGGTCTTAAAATGAGAAGAGCAGCAGTAATGGTCGAGGCTGCGGAAGCTGGGAAAATCATTCGCAAAGCCCATCGAAGCTTCGCCAATTACAAGACCAAAATGTTTGCACTCTGACGCTCAGACGGTGCAGTTACAGCGTTGGGCAGAAGGAAACGAGCGGATTGGGGAGTTTTCAAGAGCATCGAGGATGCAGTGAAAAGGACAAAGAACACCGGATTCCGTGCTCACCTTTTCTACTCAACGGTACTTCCTGCCCTAACGTATGCGTCAGAAACCTGTCGCTGCGTAAACACTATGAAAAATCGCGTAGCGTAATCGAACGAGCAGTCGAAAGGGCGATGTTAGGAGTATCCCGTGTCACGCAAGTAAGGAAAGTGATCCAAAACTCCGACCTGCGTGAACAATCAAAAATCAAAGATTCTGTACTCCAAACAGTCGAAGATAAGGTAGGCCTGACACCTAATACTTATGAATGGTGGCAAGCGATGGACAACAGCCGTTAGTGACTGGATTCCTCAGGATGTCAAACGTACTGCAGGAAGACCACCGACCCGATGGTCAGAGTTCTTCACGAAGAGCCTAGAAGAAAGATATGATGCTCGACGAGTCCCTAGAGCGAGCAGAACCCACTGGGCTACTCTTGCACGTGACAGGGAAAAGTGGAAGATTTACTGGTGCCCGCTCGAGTCACTCGACGATCAACGGGATTACAGGTGATACAGGTGATGGTTAAATGGTAAAAGCTGGCAGGTTGGGTTGTACAGTTGTTGTGTTTCTCAGGTGTTCTGTTCTCTATAAAAGTCACATTCATATATTTTGCAGCAAGAAACTACTGGGTTGAACTTCTTACTGCACTTTATGCTGCCAGTACTTTTCGAATAGTTCCATTAGTTTTAACGCTTCAAGTCGTGATCAATTAGTCCGTTTTCTACAGCGTTTTCTTCCTTTCTTTTAGGACTCTTTTTACAGGAAATACGGACTTTCTTTTTAACGGAAAATGCTATCTGTGGAGATTTTCAGAGACTGTGGAGACTTACTATCAAACTCGGACTCTCAATATGCCCTTTATCTCGAACAGTTGCTGATATTTGGATTGATTGGGCTCGTTCTTCTACTCGATGCGTTTTTTGAATCGTCTTTTCAATACAATTACAAAGATGCTGAGATATGAGCAAAACAGGAAACGGCAGGTGGTCTTCAAATCCTCGATAACCCTCGCCGGTGATTCACATGCAATTCACCACACGAAGCGAGGCCCTTGATTTGTCTTTCTCCCATCCAGTTTTTTTTTCGTTCTCTTTGAAGAGTGACAGCCGATAACTCCGACAGAATAAAAAACTAAGTGAAAAAATGGCAAAGGTGTTCGGATGGTACGGTGGATAGCATGCGAGCTCCCGGGAAGGATGAGCACGGATTCGCATCCCAGATGAGGTCCCAAGTTTTACTCAAATTTCAACATCCTTGTCGTTGTATTTCAAATCGTACTCTTCCACGAAAAAAATAACGGACAGAAAGTAAAAGATAAGTAGGAGATGAAGCATCGCTTTCTGCAGTGTTTTTGTTCCTAGAAAACCATGAAGCTCCGACTTCATTAAGTATCGTAGGAGGTGATTGAATGCACATGTGGCCTTTACAATGACTAGCGATGGCGTAGCAATGTGTCGAGTCGGTGCTACTAACCTTCCAAACAGGTCTCGTACGAATTTGCCAAACCCGGAGGGATAGAAGGGTTGGTGAGCCTGGATTGCGGGATCGCACGCAAGCATACGGCAGGGAACCTCTGACCACTGTGCTGCACGGAAGCTTCCGTAAAACATAGGAAATATAAGTAAATCGCCAAGACAAAAATACAAGAAGAAAACCGGTACCAATATACATCTTCTGATGGCATTTACAGTCTACATTTAGGTACCGAATATCTTCTTCGGAATACAGTTCTAACTATTTTGTTGTTATGACCATAGAGAAGTAGAGCTCATCATGCTATACGAATATCAATAATGCGCGCGGGAATGTCTAACATCCACTTCAGTTGGCTCTGTCATACCCTTCTTGGTTAGCTTCATCACTGGACCTGATGAACGACACCACATCCAAGCGGACACCTTTCTACTCTACCCATTGGCTAAATAACACTGCAAGGCACACGTATAATTACATCTTTTTATCCCTAAGTAGTTATTTGGTCAGTATAGTTTTCTATTCTTGCGATTTTTTTCTCTCATTGTATACTTCCTCATATTTACACTGTGTTCACATATATGTGTATTTCCTCACTGAAATTGAACCGAACGGTAGAAGTTTGGAATTCACTTCGGAAAGCGCAGGGCTGCGATATTCAAGAACCTTGGCAGAGGTAAACACGGCAAGTCATGCATGAGTATGAAGAGAATGAAACTGGATTTACACATTGAAACGTTTCGATGCCATAGAAGAAATCGATGCAGTAAATACAGCAAATGCGCCGGTCGATGTCGACTCGAGCACGGCCCGTCGAATTAGAGATCAAACTCGATGGCGCGGGACGAGTTTGCGAAACGAGCGAAGACGAGTCTTCAATATTGCCTCTCCCTGAGTTCCAGTTGGTTCAAACCGTTCTATCATTTTCGCTTTCGTGTCGTTTTCTTCCTTAACAGTTTTAACAGTTTCATCAAGGTTTCAATAGTGTTGCATATCGCAATGTTGACTTCTTACTTACTGCCTTTTACAAGTTTTCACGGCAGGGTATTATTTATGAAACAACCATAATGATGCTGAGATGTTTGCAAAACTCCGGACGGCAGGTGTCTGCGGTGGGGAACGAACGCATTCTTATCCTTTCCGGCGAGTAAAGCGTTCACCACCACACCATGCGGGTTCTTCGTTTCGCCTGTCTTTCAGCTAGTTCTGTCTATTATAGTGTTGCATATCCTCCAAAAATGAACCAAAAATATTTCAAACACAAATACGGCTTTTTTTAAAGTGGAAGTCGGTGAAATTGATTATAATCGACAAGGTGAAACTCAACCTTGAAATTTCATCTTGCAATAAGTCAACTTGGCCGTAAATGGTAGCAGCAGCAAAGAGTGGAACGAGAAGTGCTGTCCATTCTGGAAAAGAGCAATGCACCTGAAGTGTGGGAGGATTCCAGTTATGAACGGGAACAGCTCATTAGTTGCGGTGGTTACTTTCTTGTTGCGCTGAGGTGTTTGTAATCCTATGAATATTAGAACTTCCTTGATTTTGTAGTGTTACTATATGTCCCTCTTTAGTTTTCAGAACTTGCTCATGAGCTACTACTGAAAGGAATATTTCTATTGCTAATGTGATCCTGTGAAAGTGTTCGTGCAAACACGACCATTGAACGAGAGGGAAGTGCTTGGAACTGCACAAGAGTGCGTTGAATTCGGCATGGAATCGAATCAGCTGCATTTCCTTCTGCTTTGCATTCGGAGTCCATTGTCGTTTCTGATTTATCTTTCTGTTTGAGAACTCTGGCATCCAGGAAATGGAACTGTGACGTGTGTGTTTCTTTCATATTCAGTAACATCCCTGCCAGCCAATGAATGTTTTATGGTGTATTGATCCACAGCTGTGCCATAGATCCCGTTTTCTCATAGTTTTTATCTTTCCTCACGCGTTGGTGTTCTTCGCTGTCGTTAGATGTATACTGCAGTTGTTAGCAGCGAGACGAATATCTTCTACTTGTAAGTGATGTTCTGTAGGCTTTTATATTGCCGATTTCTAAATTCTCCTCTGGACTCGGCTGTTCTTTCCATTTGGTGTTGTAGTTCTAGTTATCCCTCCTAACGGTTTACCGCCTCAACGTGGCTGGGAGGTGTTCCTGGGTGTCGGACTGCGATGTACAGCGGGGATTCATCCCCTGGCAGGGTCTCCCAAGCTGAGAAGGAGTCCGGTGTTTCCATCAGGAAGCCTAGCTAAGAGTAAACCAATACCAGGATCCACCACCGTCCTGGTATCAAAGTCGCATGGTGGTAAATCTCCCTCTGATATACAAAGACTGCGACTGCCTGTGGTGGTGACGAGCTGAGGCAGTCTTTGGCTAGCCTAACCTCGGGACTCCTGGGAGACTGCAATAGCTGAACCAGCAAGGCTCCGAAAAATGGACATTATGCTGGGGTCCGCACAACCATTGAGGACGGGCTGTCCAGCTATCCAAGTGTAATATTTAGGTATGATGTTCCTGCAATGTGGAAGACGCTTGCCCATTGTTATATTCACGTTGGCTATCAGAACATTACGTGCCTGTCAGAAGGGATGAATTCAAAGGTAGTGTATTCGCAAGGCCTAAACTATTTTCGTCGTTCCTGAGTTGTATAGCTTTTTGGAGAAAACAGTAATGGTAGTTTTTATCTTTGTTAATTGAGGGCTTATATGAAGAAGAACTTGATGTACGGTTGGTTCTGTTCGATCAAATGCTTAACCATGTGCTCCGTATTGACCGAATATATCGTCGACTTCAATGACATCTTTTGCTTATTGACACAGATGGGACTGGAAAGACAACGCTTTCTGGATTCGTAGCATGGCTAAATGGATTGAGTGTATTTCAGGTGCCTCGTTTTTTTGTTTTTGACTCTTTGAAGGTTTTTGTAGTGAAAACTGTAAATGGGTGTGGAGCTGTTACAACCCAAAGTTCATTCGAAGTGCACCACTGTCGATTTTGACGAGTACATGCGCTCAGGGTTACTTCGTGGTGGTTACAGGAATGAGAAAATGTGCTTCATCATGGATGAGTCAAACATACTGGATGCTGGGTTTCTTGAAACGCTAAACACGTTTTGGCCAATAGAGAAGTGATTTTTTTTCTGTGTTCTTTGATGTTATTATTTAATCCTTGTCGGCGGTTAAATTAGCGCATTTTAAAAACATTGTTACTAGTTTTCTGTTCGAATTTCTCTTTAACCTTTCTTCCTTTGTAATAGCAATAAGTATTCTCCTCTGGAGGTGCCTGGTTTATTCGAGTATGGAGAACATACTACTCTTACAACGGAACCCTGAGAAAGTGCCCAGCGTGAGAGGTTAGTGCCGTCATGATGAGCTATACAAATGGTTCACTTTGCAGATAATCTCTCTGTATTTTACTGAGCCATATCCTAATGTTTATTAAATTGGATGATCCACTGATTAATGCGGCATTTTAGGTAATGAGAAATCTAGACGTGGTGTTTACAATGAACCCGTCTGGTAGTAATCTTTGCGAACACGCTTCTACCTCATCGGCTCCCTTTAATCGCTGTGTGCTGGACTGGTGACTGGGCCGATACCGCGCTCAACGAGGCGAAACGTTTGGACGTCTTTTTAACCGCTATGGGATTATGAAATCTTCAAATTTTCCGCTCAGATTTCCGAACGGTGGAATATTTCGCCGAATATGAAAGGAAATTTGAAATTCAGGTGAAATGCGAGGTCCACAAAAAGCCTGTTTTTTAAGGTTGCATCAGAGCTTACGGCGACTATCAATATGGACCGTAAGGATTATGAGCCACGTTTTGCGCTGCCAAAAGTGTTTGATCTCATGCCTAGCCCACCGGCTTATCGTTATGCTGTCATTAACAAACTAGTGTACGTTCATAAATCCGTCCAAAAGCTTAACGAACAGGTGAGATTCCACGAAATTTCTATATTAACGCAGTCGCTACCGTATGCATTGTCTCTAATGCGTTTAATTTCCTGCTGGTTCTCTTGCGGGACTAAGCACTTATGCAAAGTCGTATCGATGCCCTATTCACCACACATGTTAAGTAGCCTGAAAAAGATGCTTTCTGTACGATGTAGTTTGCAAAAAAAGACTTGTTCAGATGGGTTTATTATTTACTGTATTTATCGCCGTTTCTGGATATCGAAGTTCGGTGGTTTAGCATCCGAGTTCGGTAATTAGAAGGTCTTCTTCGTTGATGGCGAGACAGAAATCGATTGAGGCAATTTGGGTATATTCAATGAAGTACGTGTTTATACTCGACTTCACTAGAATTACAGATTGTGAACAGGTGAGCTATTCACAGAATGTCCGTTCATAAATGTTTACACTGTCTTTGAAAGTAGTTCACAGCAGCTATTCTCATAGCCTTCCAGTATCGTTATGAGCTTCATACTCACTGCGCGAATACCAGCACTTCTTGCATTCGATTCGATTCGTTTTATTTCCACGCATTAGTCGTGCAGGTTGGTTGTCGAACATTACGCATGTAGCCTCGGCTTCTGCATGAGGATTTCGTCTTCTTTGTGCTTAGAATGCCGGTCGAGTCGATTATCCTTACCGTCTTGACGCTAACCGAGCAGAGGCCTCTCCCACTTGGATTGGTGGAGATCGTCAGATCAGGGAATCGAACCAGCACCTTTTTTCCTGATTGACTACGTCACTTACCACTGTGCTATCCCTCTTCCAGAACACAGAGATTTTATTGTTCCGGATGTCACCATCTTCGAGCGTTGATGCTGTGCATAAAAACTGCAGGTATTTCGGCTGTTCCTTCCTTGCACTAAACTATTGAAGCAAAATATGGTACTGTTAAGTTAAAACATACAAAAGGAACGCCTGTTTAAGTAAAATTTCACGATGGAACCTGAGTTTTTGGTGATGAATAGAGCACGCATTGATGAACTTCTGGAGCCTGGTGTCTAGAAGTAGAATACTTCTGGGACTTTCCTACTGGATAACCTGATCATTTGTTTCTTTATAACAGCTTAGCCGCTTTATTTTCATTCGCGCTGCATTTCCAACTTGACCAGCTTAGCGTTTCACCGAAATAACAATTTTTCGCAGAACATCGTTTTTATTTTGATATCCATATTTCTATACTTTCAGTTTAATCTTTTCGAGTACTTTTTTAAATTTCAGTCCTTATCCCCAATGCTCGAATGCCTTTGATTTCCAGGAGCAAAACCGTGGACACAAAGTCATGGTGGTAATGTCTCGTCACTTTCTTGACTTGGTCAGGCATTTTACGAATCTGTTTTACGAAGAACGACAGGAGCTAGGAGAGGGGAAGGTGTAGAAACTATTTAGGGAACTAAATTAACTAAAGACATCTGAAATCAACAACAGCATTCCAGGCCCACCTATTGCTCTCAATGAGATACGCGAAACTGAGGAATAAGTGAAGCAGCTGCAAAAGAGCCTTATGCTGATGAGTGGTGAGTTGGAGGAGGAGAAAACGGCCACTAGACCAAAACTGAGGGAAATGTTAGCGGACCAGGCGAAAGTACAGCACGTACAGGATTTGAACTTTTGCATTGCTATTTATCCATTTTCCCATGGTCTTCTTATCACATTTTTATGTAAGAATTCTTTTTTTTTTTTCGAAACATTGGTTTGTTGTAGACCAAAGATGGGAAGCACCTTATCGAGCAGCTCCAAAAGGAGCCAGCAGAACAATTTACCCAGATAGCAGCAAAGAAAACAGGAGTGCAGAAGGGCCTCAGTTAGGTGAGTGTATCACTTTTAAATTTAATTTGAGTTAGGTTTCTTTTGTTCTTTCTTTTGTTCCAATTTTTGTTACCTACTGGTTGAAAAGTACTGTATTCTGCACATTTGTTCAGGTGCACCTTTTGTATCATTACTCTCTCGTCTTTTTATTTAACATCTTCACCTGCATTCTGAAATCTCCCGCATAGAGCCAAACCCAGGACCACGTCCAGTGGTTGAATATAATAACAGCAAATTTGTTCCAGGTATGATTTTTATCCTCTCATGTAAATCAGAAATACAGATCTGCTTAGGACACATTGGCTTAAATATTCTGCGTTATTGCTTCACGAAAATTGGTTAGTATCAATGTTTATCGTTCTTAGATACTTACTTGGATGGCCCGTCCTCACTGGTTATGCGGATCCCAGCATAATCTCCACTTTTTCGGAGTTTTGCTGGATTAGCCATTGTGGTTCTCTAGAGTCCTGACGTCTGCCAGGTCAATGTACGCTTCAGGTTGTCACCACCACAGGCAGCGGCGGCTATTGTTGATCAGAGGGAGATTTGGCACGATGCGACTAGTTTGATACCAGAACGGCGACGACTCTTGGTATTGGTTTACTCTTAGCTGGGCTTCCTGATGGGAACGTCGGATTCCTTCCCAGCTTGGCAGGACCCTGCTGGAAAATGAATATTCTCGCTGTACACCGCAGTCCGACATCCAGGAACATCTCCCAGCCACGATGAGGCGGTAGACCGTTGGGAGGATGTTTATCGTGGCAGCAAGAAAGCTGCAAAATGAGAGGAAATTTCTCGCCATTGATAAGCCAATGGAAGGTGATGTTAATCCTGCTGCAGCAGCCGAATCCACACACAAAATGTCGAAGACCGTCGTAGATAACGGGTGAGAGGAAGCAAATTGAATGGAAGAAATTATGGGGTTTGCACAGTAGATGAGAAGACGAGTGCTATAAAACAAGCCTTGAAAAGTATAAGATTTAATCGGCAATAACGAACGTCTCTATATATTAAGTCCTCAGAAACGAGCGTCACTTGGTCGAATAGTTTCATGATCTCGAAGGAAAAACATTAGATCGCACTTTGAAAACCAATTTCCTTAATCTCAATCACATCTTACTCACTTGGATACTTAAATAGCCCGTCTTGACTGGATGTGCGGGCCCCAGCACAAGCTCCATTCTTTCGGAGTTCCGCTGGTTTAGCCGTTGTGGTTCCTTAGAGTCTCTTGTTCTGTAGTCTCGATACCCAGATTGACGGTTTTTCGCCATGTAGGATCACATGTTGTGCGCTTTACAGTGCATGCGGTTTGCCGACGCTGTACAACAACCGTCTTGATTTAGGCAACCTACGGTCACAGTGATATGAAAAGTGTAGATAAAGCCATATTATGGTTATAAACTCAAAGTCAATACCTTGTAAGCGAGTATAAAAGATCATACTTGTAGATTCGATTTTACACCGGGTTGAATTCTTACATTCGGAATTCACTGAAATTAAGCTTATGCGCGAACGTAAAATACGGTGTGTTCTACAGAAAGTGAATAGTTCCGATCTACTTTCTTCAGTACTGTCCCTGATCTTTCTTCTTCAAATTGGTCAGATTGAAGGAAAATGATGTTCTCCAACCTCATATATACATCTGTGTATCACATCACAAAGACGACCAATGTGCAGTATAGGTGTTTGCTGTCTGCTCTGTTGCTGTTTTTGCTGTTTTCAGGTGTTTAATGGAACTATATCTTAAGCATACAATTGCCATGTTTTATTCGTTATTTCATGTCAACATTACTGAAGTTGTCGTTTCTTAGAAACAACTGATCTACTGTCCGTCGTGTTGTTTTTCGTATTATAGCAACTATTGCCAGATTAGTTACCATTTCTTTCTATTATCCCATGTTTCCCTCTCATTGATCTCATGTGTCACCCAAATAGATGATCATAGTTGTTAACTCATATTGCACGTGGTCATCATTGTACATTAACTCCACTTTAGCGTTGTTACACCATTGTTCCGAATTGTACATTAACTTCGTATTACCGTTACTAAGTTACGCTTTCGATCAGCCCGGTGCATCGTCATCCTTATCCTCATCCTCGTCTGTGTTCACCGTTTATTAATTGATCTGCGGTGCTTTGTCAGTAGCGGCGGGTATCCTCAAATGCGTTCTGTCTGCAGCACCATCGGTGGCATGTACCATTCCTCCCACAATGTATGCCATGCGTACAAGGCCGCTGGCCGGCCGACTTATTCTGTGTGTGTTGTTCCGATATAATCGGCTTATCAGTTCTCAGTCGCTTTATTTTATGGCCCAAGTTATCTCTTAGGCAATGGTGACACCCATCGATGCTCAAACTTCACGCTGCAGACATAGTGTTATCCAAGACCAGCCTCCTGACTGTGTTCCGTAGATGACTCATCACTCGTGATCAATGGCGCCATCTATGCTCATGTAATTTACTATCCTCATCGATCAGGTTGAAGTGCACCGCACCGCTATAAAGATAATCCCTAGCTCAGCCTAATACACAGCTCATCTGCGTCTTTGTTCTTCTAACCCTCCGAATGCTGCCCACAGCACGCGCCAGTGTGAGCTCCATCATTTGCATGCTCTTACTCGCCATTGTTATCAAGTTGCTATTACTATTGTGTTAATGTTACAATAGTATCCTAATACTCTTGTGCCCTTATTAACCTCACTTAATTAGTAGTTATAGCACCTCATATTCTTAAACTTATTGCCTTATTCTTATACCAGTATCTTTGCATCGTTATTTCGGTTGTATTCATGTTACATTTAGGTACATAAACGGTTTAATTACCCAGGTTTGATACACTGCTCTGTGACAACTACGAAAAGTCCCGCTTGCCGTCTTCCTATGAAGTCGCGCCTCTACTTAACCCTAGTGATCATTCGGTACTGAGAACTAGCTCGAAGGCTGAATTATCTACTAGCAACTGCGACACATATTTTGTCAATAATTAACAGGGAATTATAAAAGTGGATGCTGTTTACCATATCTTAGGCTCCGACTTCACTCCCCTTTTCCACACATGATTCACTATTCTTTTTTTGTCCTTTTTATTCTCATTTGTTGTGATTTCTCATCTTAGCTTATACTACGCAACTTTCACACACTAAAAATATGACAGCCACTCTGATCATGTTGCCAAGCATTTGCTATCGTATGTGTCACATTCCTACTGTTCTGCTTTCAAAATTGTTCAATGTCTTATCTTCAATCGAAATAATGTAGCTATGAAGCCATCTTTGCTGCTGGAACTGGATAACGTTCTATGACAATCCTTCTTCATTTGTTTTTTTCCCCTGTTTCTTCCTTTCCTTCGTTCTTTCTTTCTTTCTCTTTCTTTCCTTCTTTTTTTCTATCTTTCTTCCTTGCTCACTTTCTTTCTCTCCCTTTCTTCTTTGCTTTCTTTCTTTCTGTTTCTTTCTTTCTTAGGAATAGGAAAACGAAGTGAGAGTGGAAACTGTCGTGTAGGACTCTTGCCATTAGCACATGTAATCCATGGGAACTTTAGAGATGAAAAAATCGTCGACCAACATGGAAATCTTCTAACGGCCCGATTCATGCGAAAACCAGTCATTTTCTGAAGAACACAAAATGGTATCGCTGTTATACCTCAATGGTACCTCGATTCTGTATAGGACCTAATCGTCGCCACTCCTGCGCAATGGTTCAATTCAGCCATAAGCTAGAAAAGAAATCGTGTCATCGTCCAAGATGGTAAATATATGTAGGATCCGAATAGTTCTGTAGATAACGATAAGACTGCTCATCAGCATGTTATCTATCAGTTACCCTATTTTAATACATGAAAATATAAGGTTAGGAAGGATGTTGTAGAGAAAGAATGCAGCATAAGGCCCAAGTTTTGCCAATCAGTCAAGCGGTCAATTTACTCGTTACCGCTTAAGGCTGTATACCGCAGCTACAGTGGTTATCCACACGATTTCTGGTAAACAAATTTTAACATTGAGGAAGCGATTTAGAGTCCAATCCTCGTTCTTGGCTTACGCGACGCGTGACCACAACCCAAACAGAATTTTCTGCACGCATCGATGATCACAGAACATACAAAATTGCTTCTGGTCTACTTTCTTTATTTTCTACTACTGATCTCCTACAAATTAACTCAAAAAACCGGCCTTCTACAAACTTAGGCATAAACAGTTGATATATTTATTTACAGGACCTTATAAACTGATCTCTTTGAGCCGATGCAAGGTTGCTATAGCTCTTCGTTGTCGTTGTTGCTGTTATTGCCGTTGCTGTTGATTGCTACTCGTAACAGCACAACTATCAGGAAGGCGAAATCGCCCAAACGTCAGCCATCGACCAACAACAACAACAACAACAACAACAACAACAACGACAACGAAGACCTATACTATAGAGAACATTCTTTACGAATATTGGAATGTTCTCTATGTAAATTAATTATAACCTTACGTCAAACATTTTCGAATACGGTTTCCGGTGACCTTTTCTCCATGACGATCTGAT